GCTTCGTTCTCTTGTTCTAATCGGCCCAAGTGCTTATGCTCTCACACGTACTCACAGAAGTATTAGATTTCCACATTTGTTTCGCATCCTCATCTCTTTTCTCGGTATAGCACGCGCGTTCTCATGCTAAAGCTACACGCAGGCTTTTCGGGGGTATCTTCCTTCACGTTCTTTTCCCATCCTCATCTCTATTCTCGCTGTGCACGTGCGTCATCATGCCGGAGCTACACACAGGCTTTTCCGTCGTTTTACTACCATCCATTGTCGGGTGTGTACAAGTACGCGCAACCACTGTGTCGGGGGGCATGCAACATTTTTAACCTCTTACCGGTGCTTGAGGAGAAGGCCAATCATGCCCGCTTTGCCCGCCCAGCAAGCCAGGTGCAGCGGTGTCCTGGGCAACGTCGCGAAAGGAACAAACAAAAAATCGTTGAAATTTCATCACAGGGTCCCGGAGCTTGATGAAGCGAGGTGTTAGGGGCACCCGCGGTCTGTTTTATGGGCGGGATCAGCTTACTGACAAAAAGGGGTCCCACGGACTACGTCGTGGCTATCACTTGCTATACATCGGCCGTCGCATCACTGGTACACACACCAGCATGCGCCCAACTACCGTCCGTATACAGCAGTAGTAGTGGGTCCTGTCTAGTGCCGGTCGAATAGTGCCTGGTGCCGGTATAGTGCCGGTACAGTGTTTTCAGCTCGCACACTCTGAAATGCCAAGTCGTTCTGTACCTTGAATAACACAGCAGCAGTGCCGGCCAAATCTCTGGACACATGCCGGCACTATATCGAGCCACTAAGCCCCCGTGGGTGGGAATTTCTCTGCATCCATTGCTCCGATCGGGGTGTCCGATGGCGTGAATGATAGCTGTGGGCCATTCAAACACATTGCAAATCTTCGTAGGACAAACAGCACCCTGTAGGTAGAGTTTGGCCTGGTGGAGCAGTTAAGCTTAACTGCTCCATCGGCCACTGAGCCCCTTGAGCCCCCATGGGTGGGCGTTTCCCTGCATCCAGTGGTCCGATCGGGGTGCACGATGGCTTGAATGATAGCTGTGGACCGTGCTAACACGGTGCGGCCAGCGTTTGGCGCGGTTCAGCTATGTAACGGGACGTATAGGCGGACAATTGGCATTTCCCCCCCCTGACCCCCCCCCGGTGTTTGCCATCGGGGTTGGGTTTTCGTCGCTTGGCAGCGATGTTGTAAAACAAGCCGATCACTTCGTGAGCTCGGCAACCAGGTTACCGCTTTTTTGTTTACGGCAACCATGAATGGTGGTCGAGCAGATTATGTTGTGCGGGGTCGAGAACATTCCCTCCGCGCAAGGGGGATGATCACCCACGTTGTCTTCAATTGGTCAAGCACCCTCGAGGCAGCTACACAATGCTCATAAAGTCCCTGGAAGTGAAAGCACCAGAAAATATATTAAGCCATTCACAGCTGTCATCCGCACGCAAGGAAGTAAGCACAAGATGCCGAATACCCTTAGCAGGATGCAGGGCAACCTTCACGGCAACTCGCCGAATACCTCACGGCGCTTCGCGCTTGGTGATGTGAGAGCCTGGTCCGGTGAGAACCGGTCGTGCTCCGTCCCGGCTTTGAAGGGATACGGGGTCAATGGTCTAACGACTACGGCATGCACGACTATGAGTACCCCCCCCCCCCTAGATGCTGCGGACCCCCCTCTGTTGAACAATATCTCTGCGGGAACTTATCGGATGTGAGTGTCCGGTAGCTTGGAAGAACAAGATGAACCGTGCAGACACGATGCAAAAGGGGTGAGGCCAATTGGAGGTGTGTGGACGAAGTTTCGAGACGATTACTGCTTCCTGACATGCTGCGGAACCCCCTTTTTCAGCATATCTCTGCGCCACTGGTCGGAATTAGCTTCTAAGTAGCATTTCATATGGCTGTAGGCCACACCTACAAGATGCACTTGGTTTGAGGTCGGCTGGAGCTCTGTGGGGATTTGAAAAAAGTCATCGAGTATCCGAGTATTGTATTGTTGTGGGGGGGGGGGGTGTTATCTTGTGTAGACCGGGTGATAAAAGTATAAGAGTGAAGGTCACCCAGGGTGGTTGATCAGGGTGAACGATACCACCTCCGCACACTTGCGGGGGCAGGAATCGGTGTGGCCACTAGGGTGGGTTAGCACTGCTTGAACTGAACTGAAACACA